ACTAGTATTGCTACCACGGGTACTAGTAGTACTCGTACTACTACTACCCTGCTACTCGTACTACTACTACTACGCCTACTATTCGTACTAGTACTAGTAGTGCTGCTACTACGGCTACTGGTAGTAGTAGTACTATTACTACTATTATTACTACTATTACCAGTACTACTACTACTACCACTACTACTACTACTACTACTACTACTACTACTACTACTACTACTACTACTACTACTACTCTACTACTACTACTACTACTACTACTACTACTACCACTCTACTCCCCACTACTACTACTACTACTACTACTTACACTACTACTACTACTACTACCTACTACTACTTACTTACTACTTACTTACTACTAACAACTACTACTACTACTACTACTACTACTACTACTACTACTACTACTAACTACTACTACTACTACTACTACTACTATTACTATGCTACAGCTACTACTACTTACTACTACTACTACTACTACTACTACAACCACTACTCTTTTCACTACCACTACTCTACAACTACGACTGCTACTACTACTACTACTACTACTACTACTACTTCTGCGATCATTACTATCACTACGACTACTACTACTACTACCACTACTACTACTACTACTACTACTATTACTACTACTACTACTACTCCTACTACTACTACTACTACTACGACTACTACTACTACTACTACTACTACGACTACTCTCACCACTGCCTGCTACTACTACCACTACTACTATTACGACGACTACAACTACTTTAGTATTACTACGGTTACTTCTAATATTAGTGGTGCCACTACTACTACTACTGCTACTACTACTAGTGGTACTACTACTACTACTACTACTACTACTACTACTACTACTACTACTACTACTAGTACTACTACTGCTACTACTACTACTACTACTACTACTGGTGTTGTGATTGTGTTGTGAATACGACTACTACTACTTACTACTACTTACTACGACGACCACGACTACAACGACTACTACGACTACTTCGACTACTACTACCACTACTACTACTATGATTTCTGCTATACTATGAGTACTACTACCACCACCACCACCACCACTACTACTACTACTGCTACTACTACTACTACTACTACTACTGCTGCTACGACTATTCCCACTATTTTTACTACTACTACTATCACCACTACTACTACTACTACTACTACTACTACTACTACTACTAGTACTACTACCACTACTACTACTACTACTACTACTACTACTACTACTACTACTACTACTACTGCTGCTGCGACAACGACGACAACGACGACGACGCCGACGACGACTACTACTACTACGACTACGACACTACTACTACTACTACTACTACTACTACTACTACTACTACTACTACTACTACTCCTTCTGCTGCTACTATTATTATTACTACTACTACTACGATTACTAATATTATTCTTAGTGCTCGTACTACTACTACTCCTTCTGTTGCTACTACTACTACTACTACTACTACTACTACTACTACTACTACTACTACTACTACTACTACTACGACTACGACTACTACTACTACTACTACTACTACTACTACTACTACTACTACTACGACTACGACTACGACTACTACTACTACTACTACTACCACTACTACTACTACTACTACTACTACTACTACTACTACTACTACTACTACTACTACTACTACTACTACTACTACAACTACTACAACTACAACTACAACTACAACTACAACTACAACTACAACTACAACTACTACTACTACTACTACTACTACTACTACTACTACTACTACTGCTGCTGCTGCTGCTGCTGCTGCTGCTGCTGCTGCTGCTGCTGCTGCTGCTGCTGTTACGGCAACGACGACGATTACGACGACGTCTTGGACGGAAAGAGGGTCGGACTTGTATTTTAAACCTTGTACGAACAGGCACGGAATTTCTGTCTCTTGTAGGTCGCCTAGGGGGTGATTTTCGTTGATTTCCGCCAGGAGAAATATCCACCCAGCCAACAACAGTACGGCGAATACGAGTCGGCAGCTATTTCGGCCGCCGGCCCCAACAACTAATTGCCACGCCAGAGCTTGAGGGGGAGGGGGTGCAGCACTACAGACCTTTTGCGGTCAGGGAGCTCCTCCGAAGGCCCCAGAGGGAGCGTTCGCATGTGGGCATCACGCCCGTTTCGGCACACCTCTCACGCGCTTCGTAACCCCATAGGGAGCTCCTCCGAAGGCCCCAGAGGGAGCGTTCGCATGTGGGCATCACGCCCGTTTCGGCACACCCTTCACGCGCTTCGTGACCCCATAGGGAGCTCCTCCGAAAGGCCCCAGAGGGAGCGTTCGCATGTGGGCGTCACGCCCACGTCGAAACAACTCGTGCGTTTCTCAAAGTCCTAGAGATTGACGCCAACACCACGATCGGCGGTGTGCCTCCACCGAGGGAGGGCGAGCCCGATCTCGGCGGTGGTGGTAATATTCTGGCTTCCAAGGTGACAGAAATATTACCACCAACACCGAACTCTAAGATTATCATCTCCCTGTGGAGGCAAACCCCTGTGCTGGTGTTGGTGCCAATTTCCAGACCTCCAAGTTTCGTGTCCCCATGGGGAACTCCACCGACGGCTCCAGTGGCGGTGTCCATACGTTGCCGCCCCACCCATCTCGGCACATCACTCACACGTTTCGTGGCCCCATAGGAGCTCCACCTGAAGCGATACAGTCGGGGCCCTGAAGAAGGAACCCTTTTCGTTGGGGAGGGGCTCCGTGTTCAATAGTTGTTTCGCAGTTTGCCTTAGGTTTTTCTTTGGTTTTCCATGGGACATCGAAGTTCAATGTGTGGAGGACAGGGGCATCGTTCCTTATTTAGGGTTCCTTAGGTCAACGCCCCGACTGTATTCACACCGACGGTATCCACAACTGTATATTGTTGGGTCCTTCGCCGGGGGCATTTTTCGATCCGGGCGAACCTTCGTCGTTGCTCGTCCTTGAGATCTGGTCCGGAAGCACCCCACGAGAGGTCAATCTGCGGATGCCCAGGTCTACAACAATCTGATGTTTATGTCAATCCACGAGATTTTCCTCCAACTCCCAGTTGTCGGACAACAAGGCCGTCAAGAACGGGTCCAGGGCCCAAATCGCCCGCTGGGGATAGGGTCGGGGCTTCCTTGTGGTCGCGCATTGAAGAAATCACACCGTCGGATGTCTGGGGTCGAGGCTCCATATCTTGTCAGGGGCAACGATCGGGGGGGATCGGCTCAGGGGGATCTGCATCGACCCCCACTCGTTCACTCATCACCGATGGGGGCTTGATAGTCCACCTGCCCATGACCGTGCGGTTTTGCTATCGACGGCAAACGGCCGAGACATCGGCGATGTACCGCCGATTCCAGGTCGATATCCCCCCTTGACCAGTCCCATCCCTACCGCCCTCCCTCATCTGTCCATCACGGCGCAACGAAAATCTTGAGGAGCTGCTGTATGTTTGAGGTGATACAGAGGCTCGTGGCCAGAATGGCCAAGACAACGTGTAACCATATCGTGTTTATTTGGGTCAGCCCGTGCGTCCCGAGGTTTCGCTTGGTGTGCGCCCGTGGGCGCTTCGTGCGCTGGGCGGCCGCAAAAATTGTTCGACGTAAACTTAACCACAGCTTGCACCACACAGCTTGCACCCCATAGCTTGCACTACACAGCTTGCACCAGACAGCTTGCACCACATGTGTTGCGTTGCGGGGCCTACACAACGTAGTTTGCAGACGTAACTTGAACCGCATAGTTTTAACTGCATAATCTACAACCCATAGTTGCACGACATAACTTGCACCACACAGCTTGCACCGCACAGCTTGTACCACATATATTGCTTCACAAAGTTTGCGCTACATACCCTTCGCCACAGAGCTTACACATCCACAGTGCAATAACTTTCTGCTTGGGGTCCACGCTGGTAAACATTTCGTGGTTACGCCCTCGGCGTTCCACGGGGCCGTTTCCATGCTGCGGGGTCGTCAATCAACGAATCGGGATGAGGAGCCAGCGCCCAGGAGAGAGTCTGGACTTTTTGGGGATCCCGTATTGAAGCGCGTGTAGCGTCGGATGTCTTGATTCGGGGAGGTCTGCCTGCATTTTTTGGGGGGGGGCCTCCCGGGCGACCTCGCTGGGCCCGTGGGCCGGGCAACCCTCCGACAGCGTCCGAGATTCTGAGCAAGGGGGAGGCCCGGTCACCAAACGGTTCCCCCTCCCCCCTAACCACTTCGGCCCTTGGAGGCCCTGTGTCTCTCTCTCTCTCTCTCTTTCCGGGGCCGTCCGGGGCAGCGCCGTGGTGAGGGACCTCCCGTCCCTGGGAGGGGGCCGAGGCTCATGGGGACCGCGTACTCTCCCAAACCACGGGGTCCGTGGCCGTGGCTCCGAGAGGGCAGGCGCGGGAAGTCGCATGCGAACTCTCCTGCCAGAGATCGTTTCGATTCCTTCCATTCGATTCGATTCGATTCGATTTCGACAGATTCCGATTCCGATTCGATTCGACCTCGGATTCCGACTCGGATTCCGATATCTCAATGAGGCACGCTCTCTCTCTCTCTCTCTGCCGACTTCCGCCGATCCGGTTCCTCCCGACTCGGCCGCCGATTTCCGCCGGTCCGAGTAATCTCCACTGCCGCTTCTGGCTTGCCGATTCGATTCTGCTCCTCCGGGAGGCCCTTCCGGGAGGCCGCTCGCCCCTCGCCCTCGCCCTCCTCCTCCTCCTCCTCCTCCTCCTCCTCCTCCTCCTCCTCCTCCTCCTCCTCCCTCTCGCCCTCCACCCCCTCTCTGGTGTGAATCTGCCGCTTCGCGGCCGCCCGGGCCCTGCCGCCCCTCGCTCCCCGGGCGACGCCCCTCGCCCTCCCCGTAGGAGGCCGCCCTCCGCGCCCCGCGGCTGCCCCCCCCCCCCCCTCCCGCGCGCCTCCCGCGCGCCGCCGGCACGCGGCGCGCCGCGCGCCGCCCGGCGGCATGGCGTCGAGATGGGGCGGCGCCTACGACTTTGACGGGCCAGGCACTCGGGGGGAGGAGCGGGAGGGGGAGGAGGACAAGCCAGGTGCGCTCGCGTCATATCTGACATCCTACCCCTCCCTCCCATCCCTCACCGTGGCGCAGATCCCCTCTCTACTCGCACAGTCAAGCGGGGCGATGATCCCGAAAGGGTACGCGATGCATTGTAGAGCACGGCATGGCATGGCGTAGAAGAGCGCCGCGAAGCGTAGTATCAACCTGGCATTGCATTGCATGCCGTGGCATGGCACGGGAAATGACGCCAGCGCTGCAGCGGGAGCACGAGTCGAAACGAGCGGAAGCGCGGAAATGAGGCCAGCGCTGCAGCGGGAGCACGATTCGGAACGAGCGGAAGCACGGAAATGAGGCCAGCGCTGCAGCGGGAGCACGATTCGAACGAGCGGGGCCCGAAAATGAGGCCGGCGAGAGCAGCATTTTGGGAAAAAATGCAGGCGAAAACCTAACTCCGGGGAATGCTTCCCCTTCCCGGGCGCCAGAAGTAGAAATTCAGCATTTTCAAAAGAAAAAATTGTATTGGAATGGCCTTTTTTCGGCGCCGCCTCGGAACTCGATTTTCCGGCGCCGGCCGGAACCGGCTCCGGACCCGGCCGGGGCGCCGGCCCGGGCGCCGGCTCGGGCGTCCGGCCGGGGCGCCGGCTCGGGCGCCGGCCTGGGCGTCGGAATCGGCCTGGGAGGGGCCGGGCGCCAGAAGCAGAAATTCAGCATTTTCAAAAGACAAGTGTGTATTGGAATGGCCTTTTTTCGGCGCCGCCTCGGAACTCGATTTTCCGGAGCCGGCCGGAACCGGCTCCGGAGCCGGCCGGGGCGCCGGCCCGGGCGCCGGCTCGGGCGTGCAGCCCGGGCGCCGGCGGAAATAATGCCAGCGCTGCAGCGGGAGCACGATTCGGAACGAGCGGGGCCCGAAAATGAGGCCAGCGCCTCAGCGAGAGCAGCATTTTGGGAAAAATGCAAGCGAAAACCCAACTCAGGGGAAACCTGTGTGTAAAAAACAATACGCGGGAGGGGGGGGGGCGAATATTCCCAAGACGTCACCAGGGGAAGAGGGAGAGTAGTATTCATATTGAGTAATAATTGTGAAGGAGGAGGAAGAAGAGGAGGAGGAGGAGGAGGAGGGAGGAGGAGGGAGGAGGAGAAGGAGGTAACTGCCCATGCCTCCCCCCTTCGCTCGTGTTCCCCTTTTTGGAGCCTCCTGGCCGTCCCTCGTCCTCACCGCTGGCTTCGCCTCGAGCTCCTGGTCAGCACGCGCCCCTGGTCAGGGAAGTAGCGGTAGCGGTGCTTCTGGTCTCCCCAGGCGTGCACGGGGTTGAGGTGGACGTCGTGTGCAGAAACGTCCCGGTGGTCTGCCTGAACAAGGCCTCCGACTTCGAAGAGAACGCCGCGTGGATGATACAAGCGACGTCCGACGGGACTGGGAGGGCCGACTCCCTGTACGAGTACTGCAACGACTCGGACGTCATGTCGGCATGCCGCAAGCTGGGGCTCGGCAAGGACGAGATATGCATTGTGCGGCTCCGGGAGCACAAGGAGCTGAGGGCGGTCGGCACCAGCGGGAAGCGCTCCACCATGCTGGCCTGCGTCATCGCCCTGTCCCTCGCAGACCCGGACGGGCTCGAGGATTTGTGGGCGGGGCTTCGAAGCTAGCTGGCCGCCTGCGGCAAAACCGCCACTGCGCCGGCGCAGCAGCGCAGCGTGAAGGACCTCAGGATCCGAGGTGGCGAATCCATGGCGACATTGCGAATCAGGTGACCATTGGAGCCCCAGGCCCAAGCCCTCTGCGGCATTTTGGAGCCGGATCGATCTGGCGGTCCCAGAGAACGAACCCAGGCAGAAGTGCCCGGTGAAGAAGCTGCAGCGCCCGGATTCCAGGGGAGGTTATACGGCAAAGGTTGGAGTTTCCATGGGGCCTCTTGCGAAACCTTGCCAGACAGCAGCGGAGCCTTCTTGCATGCCCCATGACTCGAAGAACCAAACAAACATGCATTGTCGGGGGCGGCAAAGAGCGGGGTGATGACTAGGGGGGGTGGATATCATGGCGGGGGCCATGATATTTCCCCAGATTTCGTGGCGCCTCTTCTTATTTCATTGCGCCCCTCGCCCCCCCCATGGGCCGCGCACATGCCGCCGGTCAGGATTTGCACCCCCCCCTCTTGGACACCCCCCTCTTGGCCGCTCCCGACACTGACACAGCTTCTCGGAGTTCCTCGCGGATCTCTTGAATCCGCGCTGGGCCCCCCTGCGGCGCTGGAGCGCGCCGGGGAGGGGGTCCAGCGCCCATCGAAGAAACCCGCGCGGACCTCCGAAAGCTTATGCTTCTGCTGTTTGCCATAATTGTTCCCCGTTCTTTTATTACTACGATCATCATTACTGTTATGACCCGTATTACTATTATTATTATTATTATTATGATCATTATTATGTATCATTATTATGTACTGTTATTATTATTATTATTATTATTATTATTATTTTATTGATATTATTTCTCTTTTCATTCGTAATATTGATATTCTATCAAGTCGTATGTCTGTTCCGTTATGATTATCATTTTAACACGGCTATTGAGTACTATTACCATCGTTAATATTCTTAGCATTGTCATTCGTATTAATCGTATTATCGTGTTACTGCTACCGTTAGTGATACGATCATTATTATCATTAGTATTATTTGTATTTATGATATTGTTACTACCACCACTATTATTAGCATCATTATGATTATGATTGCTATTGCTATTATTTTCATTACTGTTATCATTCTTATGGCGTGCACAATGCACGGTGGTGGACAAGCTGCACCGGCAGTTCTACGATGTCATGGAGCTGGCGAAGAGTCAGTGCCAGGGCACCGGTGCCTCTGCGGGCGGCTCCTCGGCAGGCGGCGCCAAGAGAAGGGCTGAAGGCCACGACGGCGGCCACTCCACGTGGCGGGCCAAGGCCGCGAGGCACGAGGCTCTGGGCCTCCCAGGTGGGGTCCGCGCGGGTGGGGTCGGCGGAGCGCGCCGAGCCGCCGATGAGTCGGCGATGCGGCTCGGTGTGGAGCCCGATGTTCTCCGCGCCGGCGCCGCCGCGATGCCTCGGCAGTGCGGCGCGACCCTCTGACCCCAGCTGCTCCGACCCTATCAGCGGGGGACCTGTGGAGGAGCCAGCCGCAGAGGAGCGGGCCACCTCCGACCCGTACGGCGACTACGACGACTACGACGAGCCGGGCCCCGTGGTGGCCTCCAAGCCCCGCGCGGAGAAGGGGGGCGGCTCCTCGGGGAGGGAAGAGCACGGGCAGTGCGGTGGAGGCGTTGGTTAAGGAGTGCGCCCAGGAGGCTGCAGGCCCTGGAGGATTCCTTATCTGAGGAGGGGCGCAGTCAGCGATATCCATGGCCACGCTTCGATTGGAGTTCCACCGGCCTCCAGGCCCTGGATTCCCCATATAAGGGTCCAGTATCTCATGCCACCACAGCAAATCGCGGACGTTTCCGCTCGTCTTGCGCTGCAGATACATCGGCGAATGGCGCTCGGGAGCGCGCGCGCCGTGTCCAAAAGGAGCGCGTAGCATTCAATAGCGTCCAATAGCGCCCGATGGCGCCTCGTAGCACCGAACAGCGCACAGATGGCGCCCAACAACGCCCAATGGGGCCAGACGAGGGAGATGCATTACGTTCGCTTTGCGCGCTGTTGGATGCGCTATTACGTGCCATGGTGACGACCAAAAGCTTCCAGGAGTTCTTTTCCAAGGAAGAATGCTAGCCAGCGAGGTTCCCAACCAGTGCGCATTGTCATACAATGTGTTATGTGTCATTATATATACGCATCTATATATATAAATATGTACATGCGTGTGTATATACATATATATGTACACATGTATGTAACTATATATATATATACAAGACTGCATTGGCGCTTCGCGCCATACACCTTGGTCCTTGAAGATTGGCATGCAGGCGGAAGACGTGGCGGAAGGGCAGGAAGGTAAGCACAACTAATATCGCCGTCCTAATCATAATATCGGTATCGCCGTCATAATAATATAATTCGGTGTCCTTCCCTCATGTTTCCTCTTCCTCTTCCTCATTCTCGCCCCCCCCCTGCGCATTATTCCCAATCCTCCGCTGCCCTTTTTGCGAAGGCTCCTCCTTGGAGAGCTTCTTGGGCAAAACTGGCACGTCTGAGGAAAGGAAGCCTGAGATCCGACGGTGCAGCAAAGCTGCAGCATCGCAAGGAATCCCGAGCAGAGCCCTGGACACCATCTGTCCGCGCCGTTTGTTCGAACCCGATCGATCTGTGAGGGTCGCGGGGCCCGAAACATGGCGAAGACGCCCGTTGCGAAAGAACGCGACGCGGCTCTCTCGGATCGGCGCCCGTCCCAGTGCGCCAGGGGGCGGGGGGCCCAGCGCCGGCCGCATGCGGGAAGCTGCACGCGGGCCTCCAGGAGATTGTATGCTCGTGAGTCGAGGCCTCCAAGATGGGGGTCGGAATAGATGGGGTCGGAGGGTCGCGGCGCATCGCCGATGCATTTTTCGATGCGGCGCGATGCGGAGTCCGATTTTCTCCATGCCGACATCGCCGATGCGTCGCCGACGTCGCCGAGGCATCGCCGATGTATCGGCGATGCGGCGCGGTCCTCCGACCTCATATGCTCGGACCCCATCTTGGAGGCTTGTAGTGACGAGGTCGGGCGTTTCGTGATGGGGGCGATGATGCATGCGGGACATCGAGGGCTGAAGGGAGGGGGCCCCAAAGGGGGCCCCGAACGTGCGCGCATGTCAGCCTTCTCCGTTGACGGGCCCCCCCCATCAAGCAACGTTCGACGGTGCCTCTCCTCCTCCTCCTCCTCCTCCGCCTCCTCCTCCTCACTCCTCCGCCTCACTCCTCCTCCTCCTCCTCCTCCTCCGCCTCCTCCTCCTCCTCACCCCTCGCTCCTCACTCCTCACTCCTCACCTCACTCCTCACTCCTCACATCCTCACTCCTCACTCCTCTCCTCCTCCTCCTCTCCTCCCTCCTCCTCCTCCTCACTCCTCACTCCTCACGCACTCCTCACTCCTCACCTCACTCCTCCTCCTCCTCCTTCTCCTTCTCCTCCTCCTCCCTCCTCCTCCTCCTCCTCCTCCTCCTCCTCCTCCTCCCCTCCTCACCTCCTCCTCCTCCTCCTCCTCCTCCTCCTCCTCCTCCTCCTCCTCCTCCTCCTCCTCCTCCTCCTCCTCCTCCTCCTCACTCCTCACCTCACTCCTCACTCTTCACTCCTCACTCCTCACTCCTCACTCCTCCCTCCTCCCTCCTCCTCCTCTCCTCCTCCTCCTCTCCTCCTCCTGACTTCTCACTCCTGACTCCTCACTCCTCACTCCTCACTCCTCACTCCTCACTCCTCCTCCTCCTCCTCCTCCTCCTTCTCCTCCTCCTCCTCCTCCTCCGCCTCCTCCTCCTCCTCCTCCTCCTCACTCCTCCTCCTCACTCCTCCTCCTGCTCCTCCCCCTCCAGTAAAGAAGCTCTTCTCCGCCTCATATTAATATCGCTTGTTGTAACACTTGCATGCTTTGCACTGTATGACTGTAACTTGTACTGCATTCTGCAGCTGTTTGTTTGCTTACGGGAGATAAAAGGTGCGAGCTGGCCCGCTCGCGTGCGCCGCGGGGTCGTCCCCGCGTCGTCGTCGTGTCGTCGGCCGGCCGGCCACCTCACTTACCGTTCCTGATATAGTAAACTTGCTTACCGGTTACTTGTCTTATCGATGTCTCGTCCCGTACCCTCTCTCTCTGAGCAGAGTGAACATGAGACCTTAATTCTTTTGTCATCTTACCCCGATTCTCAGAGGAAAGATTGGTTATCAGCCGAAAGCCGCGACATAGTCGAAACGGGCTCATATCAGCCAGAAGCAGGGGCTTCTGATGAACCCCACGACTCAGTCGCTGCCGGTATGAGCTAGGATGAGACAGATGAGATGCCCGTCACTTCGCCGAGCGCAGATCATTATGTTGTACAACATGACAGACATAATCCACAGGAGAGCGGCCCTGGTCAGGGCCGCCTTCCTTCTTCGAATACCGCCACTCGGGTCTCCAGGGGTGAAAGCACCGAAGAGGCTGTTGAGACGTCGGAAGATGGCTCTCCCTCTGGAGTTCCGATCGGTAATCGTGAACAACCCCCAGACCCGCATGGACGGAATGGCACAACAGCAAGATCTAGACGAGGAGCACTCTCGTCTTTGATCGCCGAACCGACGGAGTCAATCAGTCCTATCCCGAATGCTACACATACATTCGTACCGGCCGCTGGTGAAGCCAGTCGACCGGGGGAAGCCCAAGAGTCCACAGGCGTGTACCCCAACGTCCCAGGCGGATGGGGAGGCACGAGTGGAAATGTTCCCATCCCAATAGCATTCAACGGACAATTCGGCCAAGATAGTGATGATCCTGTTGATAGAGAGCATGAAATAAACCCAATGGAGGAGGATTTCGATTATGTCAACAAAGAAATCTCCCTAAGCCGAGAATTGTCCTCGTTACTGGAAGCCGACCACCCCGCCCAAGGCGAGAGGTGGTCCCCAGATGGATCAGATGAAGATACCAGTGACCTGACGCCTCAGGCGGACAAGGCTGAGACTCAGGCGAAGCATGATAGGGAGTCTACAGGACGGACTCCCGCACCCCAACTTAAGAAGCAGAGAAACGAGGATTACGATTTAAACGACTCACCACTTAAAGAAGGTTTCTATCGTCCTGCCGTCGCCTCAGGCGATTGGCAACCCTCGATACCCGCTGTGGTCGAGGACGAAGAAATGGTTGGACAACCAGCTTCGTACACTGAGCTGATAAGACAGGACGAAAGGGATGAGGAGCTTCGAGAGGTACCTAACCCCCCAGAAAGTACGTTTGTGCGTCCTCGATCGAACGCTTCTAGTAGGGGAAGGCCCAAAATGCCAAGATCAGGAGCGATATCTACTTCAAGGAGCAATAGCAACATCTCCATGATGGAAACATGCTGGAACTGGAATTTTGACTGCGCGCCTCAGGCGGAGAGCAGATGCCCGTGTAAAGCCAACAAGCCAGAAGGTGCATGTAGGCATCCAGTATGTAAGAGTTGCTCTGAGGTGTGCCCTAAGTGTAGTATTCAATGGTTGTGTGTAGATTGCTTCCCTATGAACGAGCATAACTGCACATCTTCTCATGCGAACTATTCAGGATCCGGCTAAACTAGCTGAAGTTAAGACTCAGCAGGAGTTCCTGGCCAGCGAAGCACAGCTGGCTGAAAGGGCCCGACTGGATCGAGAGGAGATGATCGCAACCATGGCAGAAGTTCGGAGGACGTTCGAGGCTGAAAGGCTCGCTCTAGCCAGGGCTGCCAGAGAGCGAGAACAATAACTGGTGGAACAGGTGCACCATCGGACCGCGGCCGCTAAGCGGCAGGCGGAGAGAGAAGCCGAGAACAGAGATATCGAGATGTTGGCTTCAGAACGACAGGCCATTGTGGCGGCGACCAATCCGTCTGTTGATGCCAAAACGGTCACCGCTGCTGTTGCGGCGGCTAGAGTAGAGGCAGAACAAATCGCTACAGCTAGGGCGGAAAGAGAAAAACAGGAGCTTCAAGAAAAGCTTCAAAACGCCGGGCTGGAAGTGGTTAACACCCAAGTTGTAGCTGCGAAAATAGCTGGCCAGAACAATCGATATCGAGAGGAACTTGAATCGCGTGAAAGCGCCAGAGCACCCCTGCAGCGTATGCAAGTGAGCAATGATAAATGCCCGCCTGCTCAGCCGACTGGGGCGGACAGACGACCATCGCCAGCGGCTCAGTCGTCTGACACAACGTCCGTTCCGCCCCACCCTGACTTGACAACCGTAGTGAACGCGGGATCGTCAACTTTGCAGGCGAGGGCTGCGCCGCAGCCTCAGCCTGAGAAAAGGGAAGAAACTCGCACAGCGAGTTTCACAGTTTCTCAGTTTTGTTCGATCTGCTTCAACCCGAAGACAGGTGATTGCGCTTGTTGAGGCTTGCCGGCTTGTAAAGATCGCTTCGATGCGAGCACTAGAAGATGTTCCACTTGTACCCTGCAGAAGTGCGAAAGGTCAGCTGCCATCGTGCGAGAAGAAGAGGCCGTGGCGAACGCAGCCGAGTCAGAGAAAATAATGGTGAGGCTTAATTAAAGCTATCATCACGAATCCAATCCCGTATACTGAAACAGGATTCACCTCTAGTTCATTCGATTTGCCATTACTTTCACAAGAAGCCCCTGTGAGGCCCTTGATGCGCCACAACTTTACC